TTCCGGCATTACACAGCTTTCCAAGTAATCTAATACATGAAATTCAGAATGACCATCTTAAGTCAAGCCTTGAATTATTCAGGTTGCTAAGAGAACTTAAGGATGTAAATTGAAATAATAAAACAGCATTCTCTCTCTGTCCTTGAAAGCAAGCAAGAAAATAATAGGGTTATCTTCAAATGAGGGAGAAATGATCAGCACACACGCTCACTTCAATGTGATTCCAAATGTCATTTCTTAGCTTCTGCAGCCCAGCACATCCAGTAAAGCTGTGATGGCGGACCTATGGCACGCGTGCCACAGGTGGCACGCGGAGCCATATTAGTGGGCACTCCAGGTCAGCTCTGGGGCGCATGCCAACTGATTTTCGGGCCTTCTGGGCCCACCAGAAGTAGGGAAACAGGCTGTTTCCTGCCTCTGGAGGGCCTGAGGGGGGGTGGGGAAGGCCTGTTTTTCTTTCTTACCTGGCTCCAGATCCTTTCTATGCATCTGGGAAGGGTGAAAACAGCTTTTCCCACTCTCTGGGAGGCCCTACGGAGGCTGAAAGGGCCCATTTCCCGACTCCCGGTGGGACAGGAAGTGACTTTTTTTCCTGTCCCCAGCCTCCAGAGACTCCTAGACAGGCTCCTAGAGACTCCTAGAGAGATTCTGGAGGCTGGGGACAGCAAAAAATGTCACTTCCTGTCCCACCGAGAGTTGGAAAATGGGCCCTTTCAGCCTCCGTAGGGCCTCCAAGGGAGTGGGAAAGGCTGTTTTCACCCTTCCCAGATGCATAGAGAGGATCTGGAACCAGGTAAGAAAGAAAAACGGGCCTACCAGGCCATCATGTGCCAGGAGCGGGGTTGGGGTTGCATGCGCATGCGTGTGAGCACGTGCATGCGCAACCCTCCCCCACCCACCCCTCTTCTGGCACGCGATGGCAAAAAGGTTAGCCATCACTGCAGTAAAGCAACTCAGAAAGGTACTTCAGAGGATCCTTTCATCTGATGATCAAATGTCAACTCTGTGCTGCAATGCAAAACTCAAGATTTCATTTATCCACTTGGGCACTTTCTCATCTCACTTATTTTGCTCCTCATCCATTTGATTTTTGTTCTTCTTTGCAGAAACTTAAACTAAAAAGCTTTCAGCACATAGCAAAAGTCTACAAAACATAGGTTGCATAGGCCAGGTAGGGAGTAGTGGCTAAACCCTAGGCTCTTCCTTTGCTTAAGGGAGCCCAGATTTAACAATCTGTCAAAACTTGCTTTCATTTGGCTTGCACCGGAAGCACTAAAATCCACAACCCCAAGCTTTACCTGTGCAAAGTCTCCAATTATGATCTTTGCTCTGCTTATAACTGCTTGGGAATTTGGCAGGCTTAATTAGAGGGGCAAGCCAACATGGTGTAGTGGTTAAGGCACTAGGCTAGAATCCGGAAGACTGTGAGTTCTAGTCCCACCTCAGCCACGAAAGCCAGCTGAGTGGCCTTGGACCCATTCAGTCCCAGGAAACACGCAATGGCAAACCACTTTCAAAATCTTTATTTATTTTTATTATTCATATTTCTATGCCGCCCACTCTCCGAGGACTCTGGGCGGCTTACAGCAAAGACATTATACTAAATAGCATATTGCCCCCAACAATCTGGATCCTCTTTTTACCCACCTCGGAAGGATGGAAGGCTGAGTCAACCTTGAGCCAGTGAGATTTGATCCACTGATCTGCTGAACTAGCAGTCAGCTGAAGTAGCTGCAGTACTGCATTCTAACCACTGCGCCACCTCGGCTTCTATTTCTTGCCAAGAAATTTGTAGGGATTTGTCCAGGCAGTCATCAGGAGTCAACATACTAACTCAAAAGCAAAGGTACACATTTGTCCATTCTTGGGTTTCTATATGAGGGCAGGTTCTGTTCATGCCCTGACTGAAAGAAGAAACCCACAGCAAGCATTCCCACAACACTGCAAGAAGCAGCCTCTCTGAAACCAAGCAACTTTACCACATCCAATCATCCAATAACCTCTGAAGCAGAGAGGTGGTCCTCAGCTCCAACACCCATGGCCCTCCAAGCTGCAATGAGTCCACACCTATGGTTTTCTTTCCACCAGACATAGGTGAGTGTCTATAGCCAAGACCTCTTGGCATCTCTGACTTCAAACGTCCTTTTGAGCAGGGTTCTCCAAAGTAGTCAATATTGACCTTCAAGGGTTGATGGGGCTATCCAAGGGGCAGTTGTCGTTTTCATTATTATTTGTAGTACTGTTAAGATAGTACTTATTAAATTATTTTTGTACAATAAATGTTACCATTAAAGGAGAATATTTGTAGTTCAGGGTTGAAATGAGGGGTCCTTGGTGCTCTCTGAGCTTCCTTGGTTTTTTTTGCAGACGTTTGTGGATGTTTCATTACCTTAACTAGGTAACATCATTCGTGCTAGTCAAATGTTAAATTGTTAACAAATAAATGTTAGGGGGTGGGGGGTCAACGAACAATCTTAAAACTTCATGAAGGGGTCGATGAGCTGAAGGGACCCTTGGTTTTAGAGACTGCCACAAAGCTGTGACCAGCCATCAGCCATCTTTCTACCAGGTCCTTTCTAGGCACAGGACACTCTCAGAAAACACACTCAGTCTGTGTAATGGCCAGGATGTTGTTTGAGAATGTGGTCTCCAGATCAGTAGAGAGCATCTTGGGGAAGTGATGGGGGGGAGGTCTGTACTTTTGACTATGCCCACCTTAGCATCGTATCTCTTCTTCCCACTGTAAGCATACAGTAATTGTCTGTGTTCATTAGTTCATTCTCAAAGAAAGAACCAGACTCAGTCACACACTTGTTTCAGGAAAAGAATCCCCCTGTAATCCTCTAATTTTGGAAGAACCCAGAAATCTTACATACATTACAAAACAATTCAGTTTATACTCTGTCTTTCTTCAAGGAGCCCATGGTGATAAAATGAGCACTCCCCGCTATTTTCCCTTCTAGCCATAGCCCAGTGTGGTAGGCTGAGCTAAGAATTAGTAACTGGCCAAAGTCAGCCAGTGACCTTCCATAGCCGACTTGATTTCCACCTAATCAACCCTCTGCAAGATCATAACTAATACTACTTGTTGTTTCTTTTGACTAAAAAAAAAAAAAACCATAAACAAATATGAGTGAGCGTTCAGATTGGTCCTGGAATTCCTGACCAAGATATCTCAATCCAAAGTAGGTTAGCTAATTAAATGGGTTCACACGAACCCATTGTCCATTGATCACTGATGAAATCAGCATGGCTTTTACTTTAGATTTTACTGCCATTTTGCTCTTTTGGTAATGTCTTCTAAGGATGTTTGCCACTGGATAAAGTGGGGAAAATATGCACAATGAATGAATTAAAGTAAATAAGGTAACATCTCGACTAATAAATCAGATGTCATTAAAAGCAAAAAATGCTAGCTTGGAGAATGGAGATGAAACAACTGTAGAATGTATCATCCACAGGATAGCAGGTTCAGAAGAGAAAAAAAAAATGGAAACAGTCATAGGATAGAGACTTTCAGCTGCACACAAGAGGCATTTTTACTGGACAAACTCAGGACCAATGACAGGAAACCCACTATCAGATTTCCTGCCCGGAGGTTGAAATTTAAAAGCAGGAAAGGAGAATCCCATCAGGGGCCTGGGGATGGGGAAGAGTAATCCATTCTCCTCCTGGGTACCTTACCGAATGAAGAGCAGCTTTTGGGAGACGAGTGGGAGGACTTAGACAGGACCAAAAGGAAGACTATGCCTACTTTCCCCAACCTGAATTCCAGAATGTGACTTCCACCATGGCTAGAAAGAGGCAAGTTGAACACAACCTGGAAAAGGATCAGACAAGCAAAGAGGAGCCCAACAAAGCCAGCATGGGCTTTGTCCTTGCTGGCTGTGAATTGTGGGAGTTGAAGTCCAACCTATCTTCAAGGCATCAATTTAAATAGCTGGGGGGCAGGAAGCAAATTGAGAAAGACATCTCTATTTTGAAATGGTCACGCCATTCCATTGTCTGGACCAGTGTTTCTCAACTTTGACTACTTTAAGATGGATGGGCCAACTCCCAGAATTCCCCAGCCAGCCCTTCCTTTGAGAATCCTGATTGCCACCACAAGTAGAGAAGACTGGTTCCTCTGAACTGATTTTTACCATCTAGGAAACGTTGAAGCCTCCATCACCCCAGGAGGGGTATCTACAGTCCCCAACCCTCGAATGAGGGCAGTGAAGACACAGATCATGAGCAAAACCTGTACAATTAAACTGAGTCATCCTTAAAGAGCAGCTTCATCTGCTAAGAAGAAATCCATCACAGGAGACAGGACTTATCTCTGGCTGGGGAGGAGGGGCAGAGGAGGAATAGCCCAGATATTCCAGGCCCTTTGCCACCCAGAATAACTTCAGATGGTGACACTTTGCAGACATCATGGCAAGGGAGAGAACAAAGCTCCCTTTGCAGCTGAGGTCACAGCTCAGTCTGCTTAAGGATGAACTGTGCAACAAACAAAGCTTGCCCATTCGTTAACCTAGTTGCATCAGTGAAGCCGCATCTTGGTTAAACCAAGGATATCTGTCACAGTGCTGCAGTCAGAAAAGAGAGCAAAAAGGACGAGGAAATTTGAAGATAAGTTGTCTTCAGTCAGCTTTGCATTCTATTTAGCTACACAGTTTAAGCAAATGGCCCTTAACATCTCTTAATCAGATCCTACTTCAAGGCAATTGCTGCTGTATCAAATATCACATCTATGCCAGCCCTCCTGATTGTGCTGGGCAGTAAGATTCTCCAGGATTCCCATTTTTTGTCAAACATCTGGGCAAAATAGATGCCAGTTGCACAACAGATCATTGGCCGAAGGAGAGAGGAACATGTGTTCTATGGAATAGAGAGGGAGAGCTCAGCATCACAATGGGAGGAAGGTCCTAGAAAGAGGCTGCAAGGACTGGCCTATGAAGCATGTGAAGCATACGTCATCATTGGGGAGAAAGCAAGCTGGAAAAAACTAGGAGTGGGGCAGAGGAAAGCAGGAGACTTGGTCATCTGTCAAAAGCATTCTCTGGCGAGATGGCAGACAACCCTCCCAAATTCCTTTTTAAAGAAGAAAAATAAGCAGGTGAATTGACATTTCAGGTACATTTTTGTTGTTGCCGTTTCTTTCCCTTTTAATTCTAGGGTTATGATACTGTAGTTGCATTTTTTATATTTTTTCTCTTTTAACTCTAAGGTTCTCTCTCTCTCTCTCTCTCTCTCTCTCTCTCTCTCTCTCTCTCTCAAGCAAAGATTAGCAGTAAAATGTTCTAAATGCAATCATGTTGTGTTGTGTAATCATGACAACTGATGCTCTATTCTCATGCCTTGTTCTTCAATGTTTTCACACTCACAGCCGAGTGATCTAGTGTTTCTGGGGAGTTTCTCCAGATCCTTTTTCCTAGGAGGCACCACCCTACTAAATAATCCCTGCCTGTTGTTTTTTTTCAAAACTGGGGCACATTTTGTTTCCTTGCATAGGGCATCCCTCCCATATCCTCTACCTTGGTAACAAGTAGAAGGCCACCAGGAGCTGCCAAGTCTGTCCCTTTCCAGGAACTGCTGGTGATATTTGTAAATCTAAAGTTTCTTTTAAGCTTTGCATTTTTGGAGTTCTGCGCTGTTTTCTGAGCCAAAAATGTAGCACTAAGTAAAGAAAATGCTAGGTTGCCCCTATTCTCTTCCAGATGAATTTAACGCTTTAACAGACTAATTTTCTACTAAGCAGATCCATATGGAAAGCCAAGCAGAGGAACAGAAAACAAATCTCTCCAACTAGAAAGGGGCAGAAAACACAGACAGGAAGAAAGCAGTTAAGCTTGTGCACCTCTTCTGTCTCTTCCAGGACTTTGGCCAAACTGGCTTCTGCAGGCAACAACTGAAGATGCTCTTCGGGAAAGGACAGGCTGTAAGGAGCCGCTGGGGAGGGGCAGAAAACCCGAGGGCTCCTAGATAAGCCGCTGTTAACACGATCCATATGGTACACAAGTCGCCTTTCTGTTTAACCAAAATGATAATGGGAAATGGGAAAAATCCAAGGGGAGGGGAGGGAGCAGGATAGTGGCTGGGGTCCCCAACAGAGAATGGGAGCCAGGACAAAGACTGCTAGTAAAAATTTCTGTAGAGTGGAGTTAAAAGTCACACAGAAGGAGTTGCCCTATTCTGTTTCTTGGCAGTTTACGCTGCACAAACAGCAGCTGTCCCCCGTCCCCCCAACTTCCCCACTCAATGGAACATCCAAGGGTGAAAACTCCCCTACCAAATAATTTTTCCTATATTAAAATATCACCAAACACAAGATTTTTTCAGGAAGTCTTGAAGTGAGTTTTTACAAAATGATGTCCCTACCAAAAATGAGTCCAAACTGAGCAACTTTTGATTGCATGACTACAGCTTTAAAATATCCACACGGTGAGAGGAACGTTTTCCCTCCTTCTGCCCTCAAGGATGTGCAGGCGTAGGCACAGAGACATGCATGTTTATGTGAGGAGATAGATGGGGCCTATACATCTTTTCAAAAGATGCGAAGCCTATATTTGTCACTACTTACAATCAAAGAGCCACACAAGAAAGGATGAATATTTTTGTTGCTGAGTAAAATACAAGCTAAATACAGTTTAAAGGGCAGTCTGCATTCTCTGTATCACTATACTGATCACTGCTGAATTCAGACCTATGTGAAAATGGGGGAAATGCTTCCATTTAGGCTTTCCCCAAAATGCTTTGGGCTGAAGAAACAAAGGGCCAATTACAGGAAATCCTTTCTGTAAAAACTCTGGGATATACGTTCTTCATAACGTAACTCCTTAGTCTAATTTTTTTTTTTACTAGTCCTTTAGAATTCCTTCCATCTCTGTCTCCAGAAAACTTTTATGTTAATGTCCTTAAAAGGGGGGAAAGAACCCTTCATAACACAATTTTAAGGATGCTTATTCAGTCATAAATCCTACTCAGATCAATGAAATGTATTTCCAAGTAAGAGTGCCTACAATTACTTCCATTTTCAATGAAAAAGTGCCTCTCAATTAAAAGATTTTTTAGCTGAATATTTTATCTTATTTTCAACAATTTGATTTTAAATATAATTGTAATATGTTTAAAGGTTGGGGACTGGGATAAATCTGAAGTAAAATAAAAAAAATAAAAAAAATATACTTAATACATTTCAACTTAATACATAAACTAGATGATTTCATTCATCTTCACTATTTTTATATTACACCGCTGTAATGCATCAGAAGCAAGCCACTTCAAAAAATGGGCAATTGTGACCTTAACCCAGAGTCTCACTGATTGCAATTGGTCCCACCAATAAATCAACTAAAACACTTTTATGGATCAATCTACTGATTAAAGGAATTAAAGCTTGCAGCCTAAATTTTAAATATTCAGCATTCACAAGTCACATTGAAAGCAATCAAAGGAGATTCCATCAGTGGAATCTGAATCAGTGGGCCTGCTAACTGAACGGTTCCATAATTTAACAATCCAAATTGCTATATAGTTGCTGTTACAACTGAAGTGCTATTACAATATTAGACAGCACTTCTCCAAACAAACTAAAAGGACCAATTTGCAAATAGAATGAAAGGCATTGAAAACTGAAGTCTTAAGTAATTATTGTAGTAACATATCCTCTAAATTTTTATCCATTATCAATTTTGAAAATAAATCCAATAGAGATTTAAATCATGAATCATGTTGTTCACCTGGGCATTTGCAATACTCCAATACTAGACTTTCTTTAAAATTAATCATATTTAATTGGCTTCATGATCATTGTTATTTTATATTATATCACTATAACTTTATTACATCACTTTTATTTCAATTTGCTCAGGGCTAGGCTCTGACCTCAAGAAAATGAGCAAGATACCAAAAGGGTAAGTGTTCCTTTGCTTTGGAGAAATACATGTCCAGTAAACAGGAAGAAAACCTGGATATTGATATGTTGACTGGAGTAATAATTACCTTTCCCAGAAACAAAGAAAGAAATTGCTCTGGAATTATGTACTTTAAGGATGCTGGCAGCAAAAAGAGATAAATCTCTGATCGAGTCTACTGTCCAATCCTCCTTGATTTCAGAGCACTCTATATACGCAGTCCTCAACATACAACAGTTTGTTTAGTGACCAAAGTTATGAAGACACTGAAAAAAGTGACTTATTTTCCGTTTTTCACACTTATAACTGGTGAAGCATCCCTTAGTCATGTAATAAAAATTAAATAAATGTTTGTATATCTTTTATTAATAATTTTTTTTAAAAAAAATTAAATAAAAAATAAAAATTCAGATGCTTGGCAACTGACTCATATTTATGACCGTTGCTGCGTCCTAAGGTCATGTGATCATCTTTTCTAACCTTCTGACAAGTCAAGTCAGTGAGGAAGACAGATTCACATAACAACTGTTACTAACTTAACAGCTGCAGTGCTTCACTTAACAACTGTGGCAAGAAAGGTCATAAAATGGGGCAAAATTCACTTAACAAACATCTCACTTAGCAACAGAAATTTTGGGCTCACTTGAGGTTTTAAGTCAAGGACTACCAGTAACCCAATACAATGTGGGTTGAATTTGCTAAAAAAACCCAACAAACCTCAATTATTCAGTACTCCCCATCCTTTTGGAGAGAAGCAGGAAGGCATGGCTAAGACAAGTGGCAGGGAACACCCATGTTAAATAGCTTGGCCCAAGCAATGTCACTGTTTTGAGAAGACATTTTGATGCCAAAGGTTGGCTTTCATGCTGCTTCTTTTTCTCACCTCACCAAGAAAGGAATTGGAAATATGAGTGGATACCATTTAGTTGCCCTCCTCCCCGACAAAGCGCTGGCCAAACTGAGCTGCACTGCAAGAACTCTGTCGCTGGCCATCATGTCACTAAAAGATGATGGGAGAAGTATTAGTTCAATGCATCCAGCGGGTGACAGATGCAAATTGCTAAGAAGAATACAGGTGTGCTTAGAAACACCAGTAATGTTAATCTGCAGTTAGAAGAGGATTATAAATGTATGAGGAACCGTCTGTCCTCTGATTTCACAGCAAAGTTAGGACATTTTTGCTTAGCGCCAGGGTATCCTTAATGCTTAACGCACTGTAAGCCGCCCTGAGTCTCTGGAGAAGGGCGGCATAAAAAAAAAAAATCCTGCAAAGCTATTACAGGGACAGAAACAAACCAAGCTTTTCTTGGGGATTCTTCTTGCAAGCCCTAAAGTTTTGAGCTTCATCTCCTGTGCTTTTGTGTCTGATCTTGGAAGGCTACAAAACGCGCCAGCATCAACCTTGATCAAATTTCCGAAGGGATTATGCACGGGAGGAGTAGTGGCCAAAAGAAGCCCCATTCCTGGGCAGAATCCAGCAAGGTTCTTCCTTCCCACCCGTCCCTTGCCCGGGAGTTGCCATTTCTGGAGCGTGCAAAATAAACGTCACGGATGATGAGGCCGACGCTGCCTCAAACTGACAAGGTTGGAAGCCGCTCTGCCTGCCGCCCGCAAGTTTGGCTAATTGACAGCTCACTAAACCGACAACCTGAGGGGATTTTTTTTTTTTTTTTGGCAAGGCAATCAATAGGAAACGCATGTGCAGAGAGGGCGCTACCACTTTTAAACGCCCCTCCCTCCCCTCCCTGTGCCTGCAAAATAGAGAGCCCGGGCAGGCCATAGAAAAAGCAAGAGCCATTGCCACGCCGAATCAAAATTCCTCAAGAGACGCTGCTCCTCGAGCCCCCAGGGGTCACCGCATCAAACAAAGGCCACCGCTTTCGGGTTGCTCCCCGATATATAACCGCCTTTGGCCCCCTTGCTCTCTCTCTCTCTCTCTCTCTCCAGCGCGGGCAAAGGAGCTACGCGCGACGCTGCAAGCTTTTCTCGCCTGCCTGTGCAACTCCCCGCAAGTGAAACTTTTTCACTTGCGGGATCGACTTCCCACCCCACCTCCTCCCACCCACCCCCGAAGGCAGGCACCCAACCCACCCCGAATCCCCCCCCCCAATACACGCACTGCCTTTCAAAGCACCAGCAGGCAAGTGAATCGCGACCTTTGCTCTCGTGGGGCAGGATTTACGCCTCAGCGGCAGGCAGGCAGGAAGGCCCCTCCCTCCAGGAACGCAACACCCCCCCCCCCCGCCCCCCCCCTACCCCGCCCCAAGAAAAACCCTCGGGGAAAAAAACCAAGGCCCCCCGGGGCACAATGGGGGGTCCCGTGGGGTTCCAGAGGGCTGGGATGCTTTGAGTCCCGCACCCGTCCTACCGAATAACGGTGGTGCTTTCGGGAGCGGGGCGTGGGGTGGGTGGTGGGTGGGGGAGAAGAGTGTGAGGTTTCCTCTCAGCCCGCTTTCGACACGCACCGGCCCTGCGCGACGGACACGTACGAGCTTCCAACACACAATACCTCCGCTCCTATTTCTCTACCCTCCTTGCATTCCTCAACGCTGATCTCAGCCCCTCCCCAACCCGAAGGAATCAGCCCCGTGGGCCTTTGGCAGCCGGACCGTCGCTTTCCTCCCTTCCCCGCGCGTGTCGATCCCCACTTTCTCACGCGGCGCCCGAAGGAAAAACCCACCCCGATCCGCCTCGTTTCCACTTCAATTAATCCTCCGAACTACCCGCGGGGAAGGTTGGGTTGATCGTGGGAGCAGCATCTCGGGCAGCCGCATCCAGACATCGCGACCATCCACTCCCACTCGTTGATTTTGGCAAGTCAAAGCCAACCCCGCACCCTTGCTCCCTTTGGAAAATGCCCAAACGCTTAAGGTGCCGTCCTCGTCCGATCGGGCGGGCGCGCATCCCCGCATCGCACGGCCTCCGACCTGGCGTCCAGTCCACAACCCAGCCCCGTTCCGCGGCCCCCTGACAGCGCTTCCGCTGCCACTCACCTACTCATCCCTGCCTGTCCTTAGCGGAACCCGGCGCAGCCACCTGGTCCGCGTGGCCGGGGCGCTTCAGCTGCGGAGCCGGGCGCTGCGGCGCTGTGGGCGGCCGCGGGACTCCGCATCCTCTCTTTGCCACCCGGCTGGGACGACGCAGCACCCGAGCCGCCGGGATTGCTGCTCCCTCGGCCAGTCAAGCGAGCAGTTCCAGGCTGCGCGCCGCCCCTCGCTGCCTCCCCTTCCCTCCGCCCCGGATCCTCCCCCTGTCTCCAGCGCCCTGCCCACGTCCCTCCTCTTCCCTCCGGCTCGGCTCTCGGGTCCTCTTTGCTGCTGCGCTGACCTTCCCTGCCTTCTACGATCTAAGCCTTTGCACCGGCCCAGCTCCCTGGAGGCGCTGCTTCATCTCCCCGCGGTTCAGGGCGAAGAGATTCAAGGGTTCTTGAATCCCCCCCAAATGCGTCCCAGGTCCATTAGGGAAGGAGAGGCCTTCTGGAAACCATCTGCCGAACTGGGAACTGGGTTGAAGTCAGGCCCTCCTAAACTGAAAGGGTTTGGCCGGACCGAGATGAGAAAGCACAAAATTCACACTCACGCGCGGAGCTTGGTCCAAGCCTCCCACACATGACTAATGAAGGCCGGAGGGCCACCTCGGGAATGCTGGTTTGTCCCAAGGAGCCACGAGAGTGAGAAACAATGCGCGCTTTTGAATCCACCGTCGCGATTGTTCCAGGGTTGTGCAGAAGCAATGCAAAAAAAAAAAAATGTCCTTCAAAACTTATGGCTATTTTGAGTCAGGGCTTTTTAAAAGCAGAAAGAGCACTTTTTGGTCCCACGAATTGCTGTCCTGCTGCTTTGGGTATGGGGAGGGGTTGTGTGAGCCATCGAAAGGAGCATTTTCTTGCAGGATGCTGCCTTTCATTCTTTCCACTTTGTTACATCTCCATTTGGGAACCAAGAAAGAACTTAAGGACTCTTCTTGTCCTTAAATTTTCATTTCCAGTTTAGGGGTGGTGGTGGTTGTTTAAGTTATACTTAGGAAGTTAGTGAGAAATCACCACCACACTCCTTCAGATTGGAGATACAGACTGACATACATACTGTGACCGCAGCCCCGACATGCTCTTTTCTTAGGTGTGCATACTGTAAATATGTCACTTAAACAAGCCGATTTCAATAAATATATTCTGAGTTGATGCACACAACAGTCAAGATGATGGATTCCTTCTGACTGCAGAAACAGCCCTAGAGTCAAGACTGCCTTACTTTTTGCATCTTGTAACTCTGCCCTACAGATCAGGGTTCCTGCTCTTTCTGTACTCATGGCCCCCTTCTGAGCTTTATTGCTTTCTGTGACCTCAGCATAGGCAATGTTATTTATTTATTTATTTTAATTTGATTTATATGCCGCCCTTCTCCGGAGACTCAGGGCGGCTTACAATGCGCTAAGCAATAGCCTTCATTCCTTTTGTATATTTATACAAAGTCAGCTTATTGCCCCCACAAACTGGGTCCTCAATTTACCTACCTTAGAAAGGATGGAAGGCTGAGTCAACCTTGAGCCTTGGCGAGATTCGAACCTGCAGTAACTGCAGGCAGCTGGTCTTAATAACAGGGTGCTTTAGACCACTGTACTACCAAGGCTCTTTATTGTGAATTAGTATTTATTGTGAATTAGTCATGTTCAATGTTTTATGCTGCTGAAATTAGCACAGAGAATGAGATGTGCTGGATTACAGCAAATTCATCGTATGCCTGGCAGTTAAATATGGGTAGCCTCCTTTGAAAGTTACGTTGGTCCCATAGAAAAATAGCATAACCCTCTGAGCCCACCCAGAGAAACATTGATAAAGGCTATTAATGAAACTGTATATCATCAGGAGTATGTTTTTTTTTTTTTCATTTTTCCCTGTGTCCGTCCGTCTGTCCATCCATCCATCCATCAATCCATCCATGCCTTTCTTCCTTTTTAAAAAAATCATTTAACTTTTTTTAAGCCTCTTCTTCAGGACAGTCCATGACCAAGACAGTTTACTATGGGCTAACCAAGCTATTCAAGAGGGGTCAAAGCCATAGGGCTAAAGGTGATCTCATATTTACTCAGGTAGTTAGTGAGTGTTAAAGGGTTTCTGTGCTTTTTTCAATAATATTCCAAGCGTTGTGCTTCCAGAAGGGAGCCAGGCCAGCTATCATCACAGACAATACCTGATCAAGTGGGGGGGGGGGAGGAATGAAGGAATGGGGCCCTTTCTTCTTCCTTTGCATCAGGCGAAATTCCTTGCCATGGATGGCATTTAGCAGAGCATCTGCTGGGGCCGATGAAAAGACCTCTATTAAATATCCCCAGTGGAATAGAACATTGGAATATAAAATTATACCTCACTCATGGTTGAAATTAATTGCAAGTATTACCTTTGGCTCCATTTTGTTCTGCTAATTCCCAGGGTAGCCTTGTTCCAACCCCTGGTTTTAAATGTGCATTTTGTAAAATGCATTTTCTTTAACATAGATTTTACCAAAAAAATATGGTGATCTATATTCAGTGCCGTGGTTCCCTAACAAACTTCAAACCCACCCACAGTTTTCAGGACAACAAAAAAAACCAACTCAATGGCATTTGCATCATTTTTATTTTATTTTATTAGAATGCTGATTATCATGTAATATATTAACTAGGCTTGCTTAAGCATACAGTATTTAACTGATGCCTGTTTAAGCTTGTGCTATTTCCTTTCTCTTTCCCCAATTCCAGTTCCCCTCCCCCATTGCTGGCTATAGCTTGCACTGCGCACACAACCCACAGGCTTAGAAGCCTAATGAATAAGGATTGAAAAAGTAACCTCTGAAACACAGCAAATCCCTCTTTTAACCATCCTTCACAGCAATACAAGAAGTGGGTATCTGCTGATCCCTCGAGGGATTTTTTTTTAAAAAAAAAAATTGGTTTCATTTAGCATGCCCACCAATCGTGTTAAAAATAGATAGGTTTAAAGAAGGAACTGGACTAAATATTTTTACTGCGCTATCCTAGAAAAGAGCAATTTAAAAATTGATAGTATGTAGACTGAAACAACACTTTTGACCAGCTGTGTTTATTGTGAATTGTCCATGATGCTCATGAAAATCATCAGTGTTGTGTTTTATGGAAACCATCTTTACACCCATGGAAGGATACCAGTAAAGATTGTAATATGCTCCTGCCGTCAAAATTAGAAGCAGCTTTTGCCTCTGGCCTCAATGGATAAGACTTCATATTTATGGGTTGTCTCCATAGAAACAGGAATGGATCCCCAGAAGGAGAGGCAAGGGAGAGAGAGCATGGAAGGATTATGCCAAGGGGGAAATCATCAGAATAACTATATAATAGCAGCAAGGAGCAAAATATTGCAAAACTGGAAGACGCACGATGAAGCAGCACAGATGATGATAAGGAAGAAGATGGACTGGTTTCATGAGCAGTTGCAAAACAACTATACAAATATCAAACAATTTGCAAAGAGTTGTGATTAGGGCCTTAATCAAGACAGGGTCTTCCTAATCCGAGAGCCCATTAATACTAAGGGTGGCATTTCCATTCATGATCAGAAAGTACAGGAGTTTTACGTTTTGTGAAGAAGCCATAGAACAGAGCAATTGGAGTGATATCCTGAAGGACTGTTTCTAAGTGGCATATTCATGGTCTTGCCAGGAGATTTCTGACCTCTAGCTGCATAATGAAGATTTTTAGTTTAGTTTTATTACTACTACTACTACTACTTCTACTACTACTACTACTACTACTACTACTACTATTATTATTATTATTATTATTATTATTATTATTATTATTATTATTATTATTCATACAAAAATGACGGTATACACAGCAAACGAGATAACCATGCTGGATTTCGTATCACAAACCACTAGTCAAACACTTCCTAAGCGTTTAGGACTGTGTGATGTATCGACGGATTATGCGAGCAGATCCCAGTAAGGTGGCCTTCTGCAGCTGACCAATGGTGATCTTGTCAGCGCCAATTGTTTTTAAGTGTTTGCCTAGGTCTTTAGGCACAGCACCCAGTGTGCCGAGTACCACTGGGATCACCTGCACTGGTTTATGCCAGAGTCTCTGCAGCTCTATTCTCAAGTCCTGATATCTGGTGACTTTTTCAAGTTGTTTCTCGTCGATTCTGCTGTCACCAGGTATGGCAATGTTGACGATCCACACCTTTTTCTTCTCCACAGTTGTGATATCCAGGGTATTGTGTTCTAAAACTTTGTCAGTCTTTTTTTTTTTTTACTATTCTGAACCAGTTAAAATTGTGTCTCTTAATATGGATGTCAATAAAATTATTATTATTATTATTATTATTATTATTATTATTATTATTATTTTATTGACATCCATATTAAGAGACACAATTTTAACTGGTTCAGAATAGTAAAAAAAACAAAAAAACAAGGCAACCAAAATGCAGGAGGGCACAAGCCAAACCTGGTCCCTCAGCCATTCCTCTAATGCAGCCAACCCCACCATCTTCAGGTTCCCATCTCACTTTATCCCAGCCCTTCACCCCACAGCCCAAATGTTCCCCATTTTATCTGCATCTTAGCAAACTTTGGGTAGAGGTTTAACAAAGACACACCGTACAGCATGTCTAAAATAGTCTGGAAGTGGAAGATGGGGAATTACTGGCAAGAGGACAAAGTACAAAAGCAGGATATCCCAGAAAGAACTCATAAAGAAGCGGAGGTTTGCATAGTCACTTTTATGATCTGTTGAAATCCTCTTCCAAACAATCAAAAGATGAATCATTACTTGACTATTATATATTGAATCAAAACTTCGGTGCTTCTTCCCATGAAAAGAATTAAATGTTGAACTCAGCTGCTGGTCTGAGCTCCCAGGATATGGGATAGTTGGCCACTCTAAAAGTTGATGAAATAAAAGACAATGAATCAATCGTAAATATGGCCAAGGATACTGGGATCTTGAATTCAGCAGAAGTCCCAGAAGGGCCATGGATTTCTCATCCTGGACTCCTAAATGATTGCAAAGTAACATTTACAGGGAGCAGAACAGAAAATTTCATGAAGATGGTAGAACAGAATTAAAATATGGTCTGGTTCAAAAGTTGGTTTAATGATTGTTAATTTACATGTGAATGGGATATTGCGATCTGACGAGATCCGGCCATGAATGGTGTGAATGGGTTT